TTTTTTGTCCCCCCCCCCTCTGCAGGCAGCTGAAAGGACAACCCTTGAACCCTTGTTGCCACAGTAACGTGTCYTCCTCTGTTTCCGTGGTTACGGAAGGCGAGGAGAAACAATGGCGGCGGGGGTGAGAGGCCGACTCAGRATATAAAAGGGGGAGGGGGGCAAACAGCGGGGGCGAGGGTGTTCGAATTTTAATTTGGAGCCGAAGAAAAGAGGAGAGTTTGAAGAGAGGAGGAGTGATGATGATGATGAGGAGAGAGTGATGATGAGGAGGAGAGAGTGATGATGAGGAGGAGGGAGTGATGATGAGGAGGAGAGAGTGATGATGAGGAGGACAAAGAGGAGGAAGAGGTTCAAACAGAGAGGGGAGTAAACTGTAGGAAAGTGTTTCTGCTGCAGGAGACATGTCCTCTCTGAGCCAACAGGACGTTCAGTCCTAACCAGCTGCAGAACCGTCCTGCTGCCACTCTGACTTCCTGTCGCAGTGAACTCCTTCAAATTAAAACACACTGATCTGATTCTTATTCCTCACCTGACTGGTGGGACTGAATCAAAGCCTCTCTGAGCCGCCCTGTGACTTGGATTACCGAGTTGCTTTAAATAAGACCYGTAGCTTTGGAGTTTCACAAACGAGGTAAATTACTCAAACACAGAAAACTTACCACGAGTCAAACACGAGTCAGGAGTGTGAAGAAATCAGATCATCTGAGTCACCTGAACTGTATCAGTCAGGTCTCCAGAGTYGATTCTAAAATGCRGGTATGCGCTCAGTGTAAACAAAGCACTCATTTGTAAACAAACATGGTGGAATCAGAAGTGTAGAACCTTGGAGGAGAGGTTTAAGTGGAAAAAAAGACAGAGCTCGACATTAAAATGTGTTGTTTTGCAGAAAACTCAGCTAAACGGATAACATTTTAAAGTTTGTCAGCATTTTCCCAAACAGCTCATCATCATGTTCAGAGTATTTTCAGTTATTTCCGCTGTTTCTCTTGCTAAAAAAAACATAGTAGTTTGCAGCCGATCACAAATTTTCCTTACGAATAAATCAGGCTTTTATTCTATTGAATCTATTAATAGTCAATTACAAGCAGATCTTCAGACATTTCATGGTTGGCTTCAAGAT